GGGGGCTGCGTGCGCGCCGAGCGCAGGCTGAGGTCGGAGCGCGCCGGCGTGGTGCGGGAGCTGTGCGCGCAGCCAGGACAGGTGGTGGCCCCCGGGTGAGTGGGGCCCGGGGGGCGGGGTCTGGAGGGGTCCTGGGCCGGGCACTGGGCAGGAAAGGGTCCCCGGGGCTGCAGCTCAAGGGACTGAGCTCGGGGAGGACTTTGCGCGTCTGAGGGTCTTCCTAAGGTCGGACCGCAGTCACTACTTGTCACAGTCACTACCGCGGCATTTGACTTATTAAACAGCCGCCGAAAGTGCAGTCCTTAGGAGATAAGGGCGTTCGGTCTCCTTCTGTAGGTGCCCCCCCGCCCCCTGGCTGCGCGGACGGGACGACCAGGCGCGCTCCACCTCGTTACCGTGGTGTAAACTGCTGGGGGTGGGGTGCACTTCTTGGGCTGCTCGTAAAGCTCAAGAAACGCGGTTGTAAAGGCTGGTGCGGTTGTGCAGCGTAGCTCAGGAAGGGGGTGCAGCCTCAGCGCGGGTAGTTCAGGATAACACAGGAGTAGCGCGTTTCACCCTCATAAGGGACCGTGTTCTCCGTTTAAGTGGACGAAGTTGTCCATCTACACCTGTGTCAGTTTACCGGTGTTGTGCCCTGAGATTGTGTTGATGTGTGGGTACAGGCGTGTAATGTAGGCATGACTCATGTTTTCAGTGTCAGGAGCAGAAACCCGGCAGGTGAGCGTTCTGCTTCCTGCTGCGGTGGTCGGTGCACGGCTTCCCTCTGCCGGGGCCGCAGTACAGCTTAGGCTCTTAGGTGCTCAGTCCCCTTCGGCGCGCTCCAGCCGGCCGGCTGTGCCGTTTGCTCTGGTCTCTGCTCCTCTCCCTGCGGCTGCACTAACTGCAGCTGTTGAGCATCTGCTTCCTGCCCCTGTCCACCAAACACCCCTGGCCTCCATCCCAACGCACAAGCCTTTTCCTGTGTCCACTTCTTCCCACTCATTGTTTGGAGAGGGCACCCTGGTCCTTGGCCTTGGGGTGAGGGCCCACGCCTGCCCAGTGAATGCAGGCAGGGTGGGATGGGAGCGGCCTTGGGGCTGCACCCTCCACTGGAGCTGTCTGGCTGGTCTCCTCTGGAAGGGAGACGCTCACTGGGCTGTACACCTGGCACGCTGTGGCATGCTGCCCTCCTTACTTTGAGGTCAGAGCCTACCTAAACCTGTGAGCCCATAGTTGGGGAGATGAAGCCCAGTGCTGGTGTGTCACTGTGTAGAAGATTCCTGAGGGGAAGGGTTCTTCATTTCCTGTTCTTCCTCCAGTTACCCAGAAAAGGCCAGTAGGGCCCAGGCAGATCAGGGACTAGTTGCAGCTAGTTAGAAACTCCATGTGCAGTGCTTTGATCACATCGGCCAGACTAGCAAAGCAGAGTAACCTTGCACGTTAATCTCGCCAGTCAACCAGGTAACGAACCTGATGACAAGCTCTCGGTGCTGAGAAGTTCTTTCCTTTTTGTGTTTTTGGTGTTTGAGATTTAGGGTATCTTGCTGCTGTGGTTCATCACGAGGCTCTCCAGAGTCTGATGATAGTATTTCTCCTGGAGATGCGGGTAAAGCACTAGCCCAGCCAGGCTCACCTGCTTGGAGCTGTCCTTGCTGTCTTCATCACCACTGGCAGCGGTGGGATTTCTCTGACACATCAGCGGTTATTCTCAGGCAACAAACACTTAGCTGTAGGAACTGCTTCTGGCTGTAGTTGAAATAATCGCTAGACTGTCATTCTGACCTGTATGTTTTGTACCTGCTCTCAGGTAGAGGTGGGAACTGTATCCCTCCTCCTCTGACAGGGAGGGAGGCAGGGAGGGAGGGCACTGGGGTCCCAGGGGGTTTTGACGTGCCCAGCACCTCACCTTGCTGAGGCTTCTCATCGTCGTCCTACGCCATGCTGCTCTCTCCTTAGACCATGTTGCATCCAGAGAGTCCCAGTGTGGGGAAGTAGATAGAATGAGGGTACGTATCTGTCTTTATAATTTCCACGTGATTAAAAGTATTTTGACTTGAAAATATTCTGACATGGCATGATGTGTCCGAAACTTAATCTATTAATGATCAGTTTACCTAATGATGTCCTTCCTTCCCACCTGTCTGCTTTTATGTCTGTTATCATTCACTGGGAGGCAGTGAAGTCCCAAAGGAGGATATATGAAATAATCTGGGGACACGTCTGGTGGTGACTTAGGACTGAAGGGGGTGGGGGAGGTAGGTATCTGTAACTGACATCTGTCCAGTTCCTTCTGTGCCCCGTAGTCTGTCTACAGAAGAATGTCTGCATCAGCCAGGGTCTGGGGTGAGTGCTGCTGAGGAGGGTTCCAGCATCACTGACCAAGCACAACTGTCCCATGCACGCTTCGTAGGTGTTAGAACAAAAAGATCTCAGAGAAACTCATAAAGAAAACTGAACAGCCTGAGATTCTAAAGTTAGGTTGTGCGGGGTTTAAAATTCTAAGCACAGCTCACTGATGCACTACAATACTTACCTGTAGAGGGCTTGCCTTGGAAGTAAGGAAACTACTTTTCCAACCCAATATTGAACAACCTTGATGAACTAGAACATTCTTTTAGTTAAATGATCTTATCCTTCTCTGTTGACATCTGCACTATTTAAAAGATTACTCCGGGGACACCTGGGTGGCTCAGTCAAGCATCTGCCTTTGGCTCAGGTCGTGATCCCAGGATCCCTGGCTCCTTGCTCAATGAGAAGCCTGCTTCTCCCTCTGCCTGACGCTCCTCCTGCTTGTGCATGCGCGCGCGCTCTCTCTCTCTCTCTCTCTCTCTGACAAATAAATAAATAAAACCTTAAAAAATACATTTAAAAAAAAGATTATGCCGTTAAAAGACATTTATGTCTAAAATTGGGGAAATTGTCACTTCATTTAATTGAATCCACTTCAAATGAATTTTTTTGTTTTTTTTTCCAGTTTTCACTTAACCAGAAAACCATTGGCCTTTTTATCTACTTAATTCTATATGCATGCATGATTTAATTTTATTGCAGTTCTTTTGATTTTTAGGTATCTTGTCTAATCCTTTAAATAAAGACCTTTGGACCAAATGGGCTTTGAAGCTTGGTCTGCCTAAAAACTGATGGGTAGGTTTCAATAGATGGTAGCATGCATCACCGTATTTATTTCCATTTTCATGTTTAAAGTTAATTTCAGGGGCGCCTGGGTGGCTCAGTTGGTTAAGCGACTGCCTTCGGCTCAGGTCATGATCCCAGAGTCCCGGGATCGAGTCCCATGTCGGGCTCCCTGCTCAGCGGGGAGTCTGCTTCTCCCTCTGACCCTCCCCCCTCTCATGCTCGCTCTATCTCATTCTCTCTCTCAAATAAATAAATAAAATCTTAAAAAAAAAAAAAGCTAATTTCAAAGTATATGAAATCACATACCTGGTTACAGAGGAATGGGCATATCTTTAACTTCATACATCGTTTTTTGAATGGCATAAATACTGATAGTAAAGCCAAAAGTGGTAACAAAGGAAGTAATATATCAGTTGTCTCAGAAAAAGTGCTTTTTTTTTATTATTTAGGGGAGTGAGAATCTAGACAAAGTAGAACAAATCAATTTCAAAGTATTTGTGTAATATCTTAAAAGATAAATATAATTTCTAAAGACAGTAGCTAGATCTTAAATATTTCTCACTTAGCACTTTATATTTATAAAATTCCTTAGAACTTCACAAACTTGAGCTAAATGTTGGCCTGTTTAGTCTTTGTATTTTGAAGAAACTTTTAGAAGACGTTCATGGTTTTATGGTGGTGCTTTGAATTGTGGGTGCTGCTAGTTTCCTCCCATCTGATTGGTCTCTTGTGCTGGCTGTGAGTTGGTGGGATGATGGAGTTCAGTCTGCCTTGCGTGTTAGCTGATGCCGTATGTCCCCTGCAGTGCTTTTCATCTGAGCGTGGGGGCGGGGTGGCTATTGCTGTTTAAGGCTGGAAGCATTTAAAGTTGCCGGCATGCTATTTTGAAGAACTTAGCAGCACTCTGGGGTGCATCTTGGAGACAATGTTGAAATTCTGAGGCTAGGGAGGCGCTTGGCCTCCCCAAGGCTGGGAGTCCTTCCCTGCCTGTGTAACCCAGCAGTGCGGGCGGGTTTGGGTGTGGTGGTGCCACTTGCTTTTGAGGCATGTTAGGAAAATGGAGTTTCGTCAAATAAGTCCTAGGAGGCCACAGTGGAGGTGCATACAGGTTTAAGAGAATTCTGTACAGAATTGCTTTGTGGAATCTCAGTAGCTCTGTTTGTAGTTTTTCCGTGGCACTGGGAATGGGTCGTCTGTTTTTATTTTAGTTTCTTCAGATGCTTTGGGTCTTGTCTCTGACAAGCACGCCTTCAGTCACCAGGCCGGAGGTGGCCGGCGTGCTCTGAAGTGGCTCTGTCCTGGCTCTCACTTCCGCGTGGGCCCAGCTTGAATGACAGGCAGTGGGGGTGCTTCAGCTGCCGCCGCTGCTCTGCACCCTGTTGCTGGCACCTCACCTGCCCCTGCAGTAGTCACAAAGCTGGTGTACCTTTGTGCTTCTTTGTGGACATAATTCCAGACCTAGAGAAAAGTTGCAAGAGTAGTACCAAGACTTCTCATATAAGTGTCACACGGATTTTCCAAAGGTCAGCATGTTGCCATATCTGCTTTACCTTTCTTCCCCCTCCACATGTGGTATTTTTCTTCCTGAGGTTGAGGAGTAAGTTGCAGATGTGATGCACTTTATCCCTAAATATTTCGATTTCCTAAAAAAATTCTCTTACCTGACCGTGGTACAATGATCAGAATCAGAAATAATATCCATGCAGGGCTATTTTCTGCTCATTGGATCTCCCTCATGGGCCAGTATTGTCCTTGGAAGCAAAAGAAACCCCAGATCGTGTGTTAGGCTCAGCTGTCAGAGCTCCTGGGCCTCTAACCTTGGGTGGTTCCTCCTTTTTCTTCTCATTATCAGCTGGTGGTTTTGCAGACTGGCTGTCAGTTCACACTGTGGTGTACATTTGGGCAGGAGTTGCCAGAGCGCCTGTGTGTCCTGAGCGGGCCCATCAGGCAGCAGGTGGCTTCAGTTTGTCCCGTTCTGGTT